CCAACTTCCGTTATCTTCACCTTCTCGGGGAACCCAAGATACACAGCTAGTGTCTTCCCCTACGTCGACCACACCCTATCCCAATCCTTATTTCATACCTACCCCACAGTTAGCCGATATTCTTTTCCTCCACCTCTCCTCCTCTGAACACTGTGCCCTTACCCCTTTTGAGAAGGATCTGATTGTGGTCTTCTATAAACATAACCGCTCACAGCCGAGCACTTGCCGTGACAGTCCCCGTGGCCAAAAACGTTCACATGAGGACCCCGACGATTCGGAACCTCATGAGGGGGAGAACAAGCGGCCCCAGACACTTGAGCAAGGTGCTTCATCCAGCCACACCCCACAGCCAACTCAATCTCTACCTCCAACCAATCGACCGCCACCCACCTCTAGCCAGAACCAAGCCAAACTCACTAGCACGGTCGAGCTAGTTGGAACATCCCGAGGCTTATCTCCAAGAGATACTGTCCGAGGAGGGGATGGAAGTCTTGTCGATGTTACCTCCGGTACATCACTTAGTTCAGGCCATCAGTCAGAACATAGTTCGAAACCGATGACAACATCCCGAGGCTTATCTCCACGAGATACTGTCCGAGGAGGGGATGGAAGTCCTGACGGTGCTATCTCCGATACACCATTAGGTCAGGCCATCAGCCAGAACCCAGTTCTAAGCCGATGACAATGGGCAATCCGTGTGAACCCGGTAGTGCTTCTCAAGAACGATCACCGCTCCAACAGCAAGAAAAAGTTCCATTCATTCCTCCAAACAAGGACATCCATGACGCGCTGGAGGATGCGGTGATAAACGACAAGTGTCCACGAAAATGGACAGAGTGGGATGATCTTCGATGTGAAGCTGAAACAGATGAAATGCAACGGAACTGGTGGCTTCGTGAATTACTGGCAAAGTGTGCTGAAGATATCATACACCTTGAGGAAGATGAACTCAAAGAAGGGGAAGATTACAAGAAAACTCCCAAGGAGCTTGAATCGATTATCCGACAATCAGCGGGTCAAATGCCAACAACGGAGAAGCCTTGGGAGAACCTACGAATCAACGCCCCCTTTCAAGAAGAAATCAGAAAGGGAATCTAGAGGAAACCAGGCAAACTCAAACAACTCAATGAACTGAAGATCCGTGGCCTCACACACCTAAAAGGCAAATTTGTAGGCGGACATCTGCACATGCTACATCACAGGTGATCAGGCAAACAGCGACAGATTCTTGAGCAAGACATGAGGTCCCGCGCTCATCCAATTCATGCTATTCTCGACGTACATAAAGAAGACCACCACTCAGTACCCTTCTACAACTTCAAAGTTCAACGCACTGATTCAAGTGAATTTATCTGTCAAGAGAATGACTTTATTATGATGAACATGGATGACATCTACCAGATGTTCATGGTCTGCATATTTCTCCCGCTGAATCGCAACAAAGTCTACAAAGAAGGATTTGAGGCAATTAAGCGTTTTATGCTCAGGCAAATCAGATTCTACGCTGCTCATGATATGCAAATGGCCCTCGAGAACAATGTTCGAAAGGCCAATCTCACAAAGCCAACCATGTATGATGCTGAGCTAGAAGATTATGAACCGTATCACATCTTCAAGGATCCAGTTTCAATACTCTATCTCAATCACAAAGAGCAAAAGCGCCTCATGTGGGTAGAAGACATTCACAAGTATTGTGATGGGACTTTGAAGATCATTCAGAAAAGGCTACAATCCATTAAAGAAGATATCAACCAAAGACTTGCTGAAGCTACTGATGAAGAGCTGAAAGAATGAGACAGAGTAGAGACCATTTTGAAGCCCATCAACAAGCAACTTGACAAGAGAAGGTCATTAAGATCATATGAGCATGCACTGAACTTCAGGAAACACTACTTCAGGTCTCAGAAATAAAAGCAAGATTGCACTTGATCACAAAGGGGGAGATTGTTGAAGAATATTCTGTTGTGAATCAAGCTTGTCTGATGTCTTGTAATAGCTTAGCTTTTATTATATCCCTTGTAATTAATGTTTGTATTTATTAGGGTATAAATGATATGAGGCCAAAGTGTCAAGCCCATATCAGGCTGAAAGCCTTTACGCAAACCTTAACGTGCGCATATAAAAAGGCGCATAAGGTTTAGGTTTTGCGTTAACTTTGCATATTGATCTTATCAGCCTTAGGGCTCATCCTTGTGTTTGTAAAGTTCACGGTATATCAAAGACGAGTTTAAGGATCTCCAACGTATATCTTTCTGCCACTCTATCTTTGTTATATCAATCTCTATTGCTGTAATCGCATAAACAGGGACAAACACCCTTCCTTTGGAACCCCGGCCCGGCCGGGCCAGGCCTGGTTCAAGCCTTTTTTTTTCAATTTTTTTTGTTTTCCCTAGATGGGCTGGGTGTTTTGGGGGGATTTTTTTTGGGGGGGGGGGGGGTTGGGGGTGAGGGGGGGTCAGGGGTTAATTAGAAAAGCAAAGAAAGGACCGGCCCGAGACCGGCCTGGCCCGGCCCGGACTCGGTGGAAACCCGAGCCGGTTCCGGGCCTTCCCCCAACAATAAAAAGCCCGCCCAGGACCAGCCCGGAGCCTGGCCCGGCCCGAAACCGGTCCATGGCTAATTTATAGTGCTAAGAATGATGTTTGCTGTGAATGTTCTAAAAAACACCACGACTTGAGCCAAGATGTCTGTTGAGGTCGCCTCCAATGATCAGTTTTTCTACATCTTGACCTCATCGCACCACTTCCTCACGATCTTCCCAAAGTTGTTGAGTGTTAGATGCATCTAACCCTACATGGTGCATAAGCACTTATCCCAGACATGATCTCATCCATTACCAATTTAATGTTCTTAATACAATAGTTCTTCCTAAATACTTCCGCCACATCTTAAACATAGTCACACACCACAAAATGCTTATATTTCTCCTCATTAAACCTTGCCTACCTCAGTAAAAGACCCAATGTTCAATGTCCCAGAGCGCAATCTAGAAGTCCACCTATTATTATTAGGGGCCGAACCGAACCGAAATAGGAAAATCCCGAACCAAACCAAAAATTCAATTTCTCAAATTGTCCAACCTGTAACCGATAATAATTGAAACCCGATTCTTCCGATACCGATTTTTCGAGTCGGTTTTTCGGTTTGATTAAAAACCAAAAATTAAATGAACTTTTCGATGTTTTTAAGGCTTAGAAAAATTAAATGTAAGGCGTAGAGGCAGGGGATCAAACATGAGTGGGTTCAAAAAAAATTACAAGGACAAAGATCTCTTCTCTAAACCGCTGGGCCACTACATCAAGTTGTTAATAAATGAACTTATAATGAATTTATTATGTATATAGCTACAGAATATATAAATAAATAGCACTTAATAAAAGTTGGTTCGGTTTGGTTTGAACTGATTTTAAACCTTCAAAAACCGACTTCAAATCAATTAATTTTCGGGTCCCGACTTTCGGGTCCTGTTCTAGTCGGTTCAGTTTCGATATGGTTTTTTTATTGCTCGGTTTGGGTTTTTTCGATTCGATTTTCGGTTTTTTCAATTTAAAATGCCAACCCTAATTATTATCACCACGGCAGCACCTAATCACCAAGACATTGAGGCAACACATCACTTTCGGCGACGACTTAACAATCTTATCCACACTCCCAACTCTATTACATATCCGTGCATCTTGCCAAATTTGAAGAAGCGTTTGGAAACGCAAAAAAAAGTTGATTCTTTCGATGGAAGATTTCTTCCAATAATTCCAATCCCAAGCTTTAAAACAGAAACCCTGCAAGTACTTTTATGTTTACTAGCTAAAGTTCTAGCACAACAAAACGGATGTACTGATACACAAACTTCTTTTATTTGGATGAACTACACCAATGAAAAGTGTAACCTTCTCCTCTATAATAAAAAGTACAGAGTATATAAGTAATATATATAGAGAGAAAAGATCGTGTGAGAAGTCCCCCTTAGACTGAGAAGCTGCGAAGTCTAACTTATAAGCTCAAAACACGAACTTTTAACCAATAAATCATAACTTATAGACCCCCTCCAAAAAATTACGAAAATGCCACCGAGTCAAATTAACTCCAGAAACCTGGAAACTTTTTTTGCAGAAAGTTCATGTTTTTGAGGGGGTCTATAAGTTATGATTTTTTGGTTAAAATTTCATGTTTTTTGCTTATAAGTTAGACTTCGCAACTTCTCAGCCTAAGAACACTTCTCAGCTGATCCGCTCCCTATATATATAGGGAGCGGATCCAATGAGAACAATGCTTAACGTGAGAACACTCACATTTCAATCACAGCGGTGCACAATGGAGCTCTTCTGTTGAACATTTTCAATTTGCTCGAGTTAAGCACAGTTAAATAAACACGGTGGCATTTTGGTAAATATTATGAAAACGCGAAAAAGTGCAATATACAAGCTTCATTGTGCAACATGATGGGGTAAATGTGGTGTTCTCACGTTCTCACGTTAAGCAATGTTCTCATTTGATCCTTATTCTATATATATATATATATATATATATATATATATATATATATATATATATATATATATATATATGGAGCGGTTCCGGTAAGAACGGGCTCCCAGGAGAGAAATAAGAACGAATCTGGACCGTTGGATTGTATTATGTGGAACGGAAATGTGCATTTGATGAAACTGAAATGTGTATTACATGATACTGAAATGTGCAGAATACAAATTTAAACTCAATTATGCATTAGGTGAAACTGAAATGTGCGGAATAAAATGTACAAAAATAACATCACATCGTACCTTTTATTCTGCACATTTCAGTTTCACATAGTGCACATTTCAATTTCACCTAATACACAATTCAACTTCACTTAATGACATTGTATCGTACGCTTTGTGTTGCACATTTCAATTTCACCTAATGCACATTACAGTTTCATCTAATGCACATTGAATTTCACTTAAAGCAAATCTAACGATCCCGATTCGTTCTCATTTCTCTCCTAAGATCAGATGCATCCTTAAGTTATTTGTATTGCATATTGAGATTCAAAGTGTTGCATATTTAGCTAGCCATAAGTCAAAAGTTTGGGGGTAGGTTCTAGGGAGATGGATTAGACCGGCAAAGCCGAGAACCTGGTTTATAAAAAAGGTTGGGAATACATAGTATAATTCAGAAAAGATAAAAAGTAAATTTATTTCCACTTCGGAGCAAACAAATTGGATGCTGCTGGTAGATAATTTCCATCCAGTGGGGAGGAGGATGATCAGAGTTTGCATGTGAGAGGTGGAGTGCCAATGGGTGCATCTCTTGATCTTTTCTCCACCGATCGAGAAAGCTGCTTGACCACATCTTTGGGTAGACGCCTTGGCTGACTCACCCACAGTCCTCCATCCACTATCAATGTTGTCCCGTTCACGTATTTCCCTACCATCAAGTTATAATTATCACATTGTCACAACATCTAATTGAGCTGTTTCATTAATGTTTTTTTATAATATAAAGCAGTCAGTTGTTAACGTACAGTTTGGTAGCTTATTCAAGCAGAATGCTAGTTATTATGTCTCATAGGGCCTTACCTATTAGCGCCATCGCAGCAAGGATCAAAGTGGGGCAGATGTGCACAATGAAGCGGGGGCCCAACCAGACCACATGGCCCAACATAGTTTTATTACTAATTTCCTATTCATACAATGATTGTTATTTCCTTATTTAGTTGTAACCAAATTCTTATTAACTGCATTTAGAAGAATGAATTGGTGTGTGTCTTGACAAGGTGGAGCAATGGATTACCTCCAACTTAAGCTTTAGCTTACTCTCTCTCCCTTCTCTTGAGTACAAATTAATATATTAATATATGATATATTGATGTGTAGCAGAAAAATAAAATCAACGGAGTGAACCGTTGCCCAGATAATAAACCATAAAAATACCGTTGCCCAGAGCCAAAAGGCTAAAACAAATTTTATTCCAAGATAATCCGAATGAACCCTGGTGAGGGGTATAAATAGCCTTCTACAAGAAACCCTAATCAAGCCCAAATTACTTAAACCCTAATTAAGCCCAATTTAACTTAACTAACCACTCTACTAATAATAGGCCCAACTAAAACATAACGATAAATTTTATAAATAAATAAAACTATAATCCCTAGCCCAGAACTGGCCCACGGAAGTGAGCCCAATCTCGTTCCCGCTCCAGGTTCTTCTTGCTCTCTATCAATCCATCCCCCTTCAAATAACCTTGTCTTCAAGGTTGTAATTTCGCAGATCGAGGACTGAAATTTCCAACCATGGAATAAACTGGAAAATATCCTTCATCGCCTTCCGAAACCTTTTCTCGGCCAGTTATTTCACAGTACTCATGTTGTTGGAGGTCCAACTCCTCATCCTCCTCAGCTATCATTACCCGCAACTGCTTAAAGGGGCAGTCATGCCCTGGTGTAAATGGTTTCTTACACCTAAAGCATAATCCTTTAGCCCTCAATTCTGCGAACTCCTTTGGCGGAAGTCGAGTGAACTGAGAACGTGTCGTAGGCTGCCCGGACAGTCCTGACTTTGTCCTCGGGGGTTGTCCACTATCCTTCGGGAAGCTGCCACTTGATTCCTGTAGGCTGTCACCACTGGCAGTCAACGGAGGGCTCGTGTTTGGCCTTAAAAAGCTACTAGAACGTACACCTGAAGGATTATTATCCTGGCTATCACTTCCTCCACGCTGGACGGACAGATTGTACTCCACATCACGAGCTAATTCCATGGCTGACTCCAAGCTATTCGGGCGCAGCAACCGCAACGAACCCCGAACCGGTCCCTTTAGTCCATTCATAAAATACCTGAGGTAATGATCGTCAGACAACCCAGAAATCTGACTCGCCAACTGGACAAAGATCGAGGTATAATCCTCCACCGTCCCTGTCTGCTTGACCCTGGACAATCGCTCGAAACGACTGCCCGTAAATCGTGTGTCAAACCTCGCCACTAGTGCCTGCGTAAACTGTTCCCACGTCATGCTAGGTTTCCGCTTCCTTAACCACGTTACCCAGTACAAGGCTGCTCCTTCCATGGCAACTACAGCCGCTGGTACCTTCCTCTCTGGCGACGTAAAACTCAATTCAAATTGCTGCGCTGCCCCGTCAAACGAAGGAAGCAGCGCCTCCTGCGTGCCTCGCGGACGTCGCCCAGAAGCGGTGAAGCCGCCCTGATCTTCGAAGTCGCCGCCGCTGCTGAAGGGGGCCGCCGTCTCGATCTGCGACGTCATCACCGCCGCCGAAGCCCCGGACGCCGCTGTCGCCTTCCTTCCAGTTGCGCCTGCCGTCGTGAGCGCAGCCAGGGCGGCTGCGATCTCACCCAATTGCGCACTCAGCGCATCTAGTTTCTGGTTCATCGAGGCCTGTTCGGCCTCCACCTCCGTCAAACGCTCGGTGTTAGATCTAGTCATTCCGGCGGAAACGGGATCCGGCAAGTCGGACCAATTGATGTAGCAGAAAAATAAAATCAACGGGGTGAACCGTTGCCCGGATAATAAACGATAAAAATACCGTTGCCCAGAGCCAAAAGGCTAAAACAAATTTTATTCCAAGATAATCCGAATGAACCCTGGTGAGGGGTATAAATAGTCTTCTACAAGAAGCCCTAATCAAGCCCAAATTACTTAAACCCTAATTAAGCCCAATTTAACTTAACTAACCACTCTACTAATAATAGGCCCAACTAAAACATAACGATAAATTTTATAAATAAATAAAACTATAATCCCTAGCCCATAACCGGCCCACGGAAGTGAGCCCAATCCCGTTCCCGCTCCAGGTTCTTCTTGCTCTCTATCATATATCCTAGCTCATCAGCAGGTTCCTGTTCTACACATTCACTATCGTCCTTGGACGAAGATGATGGCGTGTGTTCTTAGTACAGAAGTAGCTTTTGACTCTACTTATTGGGGCTGATGATTGTTACCTAAAAAAGAGGCTCAATAAAAAAAGCCACTTACCAGCACAGGATGCAAGGTAGAGAGCAGCCATTGCAACATCCCACTTCTCCCCAAGTCTATATAGAGGAAGCATAATGCTGTCACGCTGGTTACTACTATCGTAATCATTTATCATCATCTCTTGAGGCGCAAGTTTTCTCATCCCAGGTGTGCCCTCTATGGGACCGGGTGCTATCCCATTCACTCGTATGTCATAGTCGGTTCCCCATTCCAGTGCCAGATTCCTAGTCACCGCATCTACTGCAGCCTGCCCAAGGTAAGCTAGGTTCAGAAACCACGACCTGTTTTGTTGTTTAAACCCTTGGCTTTACAAAACATATATGGAGTATCTAGAAGTAATAGTAAAAAAGGTAATAAGAACCAAGAAAAAAGGAAAGAAATCCAGAAAATGCACACCTTTGCCGCAGCTACATGGATTTGATAAAAGGTTGCGGTGTAATGCAAAGTGGCACTAATGTTTAGTATGCTCCCGCCTGAAGAAGATGAACTTCTCCCTGGACCTCCTTTCTTCAGATACTTCATTGCTTCGTGGCACATTGTGTACGTGCCCACTGCATCAATATCCAACACTGCACCATGTATACACCACTCATCTATTTTAATCCCTCATCGATCTCTCTTTCCTAAAAAATGCATAAATACATCGATACTTGAACCCTTGGTGTATAACAACAATAATAGATGCGGGGTTGCCTTAAATGAAATGATCATCATCATTTTCATTTACCCCGGTGCCGCAAAGGCTCCCACCTACGGTGGGGTAAGGGGTCGGATGTACGCAATCTTACCCCTGTACTAAAGCACAGAGACTTTTAAAAAATGGGGTCGGATGACCCATAGTGAAAATCCCGTCCACCTTAAATGAAATGATAAACAAACAAATAAATTAACCTGTTCGAAAACCATTGGGAGACAAATCCTCGGGGGAGGAGAGAAAATTGCCAGCAGCAGCATTGACCAGAATGTCAAGCTTCCCAAAATGTTTGACTGTAGACTCCACCACTCTCTTTGCATCTTCCTGTACTCGGACGTCTCCTTGAAACCCAACTGCCTGATCATAGAGTATTATAATTATTGTTGTTGTTAAATTAGAAGAAACAAACACTTTTTTCGTCGGTTAATAACTACTCCACCTCTTCCCTCCCTCCCAAATTATGCATTTTGTTAGAAATACATTTGTGGTTGTTTCTAGGGAGGAAAATACTGAAATTTGTGGTTTTTCCTTTTTACCATATCGAAAACCACCGAATTTACCTGAAATAATAAAATATCCATGTACCGTACCGAACCACCCCTTATTTGTTCCAGGCCAAAAATCAGATAAATTTTCGGGCCAAACTTCTAATCTTCAAAATACTGGACCGAGTATATATGATTGTAGTTAAGGCGATAAGAAAAACAAGTCTAATTGTGACATAAAGTGGAATAAATTGTGGGAAGGGGGACAGTATTACTCTTAATAGTTGTATAAAATGACAAGATGAAGTTAGTATAAACTAGAAACATGGATGTATAATGGTTAGCCGTATGAGGTAAAAACAGGAAAGATGTTTTACGGGGATTCCCAGGGATTGAAGGAAAGAAACGGCGGATTGAACGACGGAGGAACGGCGGCCCATGATAGCGACGGATGCACCATGCTTGCCGAACTGGGTGGAGATTTCAAGACCGATGCCGGAACCACCTCCGGTTAGCAGTGCTACTTTTCCTCTGATGGCATCCGATCGAAAAGGTGACACGGACGACGAAGACGAGGACGACTCCATTTTCAGATCTCTACTTTCTTCATCGTATCAAGTTCTGTATTTACTACATTCTCACCTGCGCATCACTGGACACATTAAAATTTAATAGTGATAACATTATTTTTAAGGTGAGGACTCTGTTACCTTTCTAAAAAATGGGGTACCGTACCTATTATTCATTTGATTAGATCACATCACTGATGGAGTATATGGGTCTAGACAGTGGCGGATCCAGAAAATCGGAGTCACGGGGTCCCTACCTAGTCTAACCAATAAAAATTTTTAAAAAATGTAATTATATAATATTAAAGTAGCATAACATTTCATAGTTAATTTACATCAATAAAATATTAAGAACTTTTATCAATTCAGGACCTTTAAGATAGATAAATTATGGCTAAAAGGTCAAATAGGTACATGAACTAACTTAAAGTGTTCAATTAACCCCTTATATATGAGGTTCTTCCCGGCCGTCGCCAATTGGGGAAGTTCCTGATGGAATTTTTTGATGAATATTTTTTGAGCATCTTTCTCATTAAGTCTAGTTTACTCATACCAAATTTCAGCTAACAATTCAACCGGGAAGGCAATCAAATGATTGTTCGAAGATAACTGCGCAGTTAAACAGTGCAGTACATTTCGGAAAATCATTTGACTGCCTCTCCGATTTAATGTTTAGCTGAAATTTGATATGGATAAACTAGACTTAATGAAGAAGATGCTCAAAAAATTTAATCAAATTTTTTTACCGGGAACCGCCCCAATTGGCGACGGTCGGGCAAAACCTCCTACATAAGGGGCTAATTGAACATTTTAAGTTAGTTCATGTACCTATTTGACCCTTTAGCCGATAAATTATAAATTCGGTACCCGAAAGATGAAATGTATTAATATAGGACCCGAAAGATGAAAATTATCAATCTAGGATCTAAGATTTCATAGATTTTGATTTATTTATTTATTAATTCCTTTGCTAATTTTTGATAAACTTTTTTCCACAAAAGTTTATTAGTTTAATAAAACTAAATAATATTTAAAAATTTTAACATAAAAATAATAAAATTCATGACAATATAGGTCCGAGATTGATAGTCTTTAATCATTCAAGTCCTAAATTGACAATTTTCATCATTTGAGTCTTATATCTATAAATATCTTCTTTCAGGTCTCAAATTGATAATTCATTTACCTTTCAAGTTTTGAATTGATAAAATTCCAAATATTAAAGTAGTACAACGTTTCATAGTCCATACTATGATGCAACTCATCTTGAACATTATGATGTAAATCAACATTTTTTTTTCTCAAACCAGGATAAGCTTCTAAAGATTCAAAATAAACATGTTGATCATGTGTATTGTCAGTCAAATTAATTTCATATTCATCAATTATTTTATTCAATTCTTCACTTAATAATGGAAAATCATAATAGAAATTTTAATAATTAAATGAATTATGTAAAGTGTAAACTTGGGGACTTTTAAAAAAGGCAAAAGGATGTAGTTGTGATCTTTTACAATAATAAATCAAAAAAAGAGGAATAGGAGTGAGAGGGAATCGATCCTTGCACCTCCACGAAAAGTAAAGGTTTTTAAAGGCTTTCCTTCGTTGCTCTGCTGCATTCTTTGGAATTCATACTTGTTTTTGTGTTATATATACATTTATAAGTAAATTTTAAATAAAATATATAAAATATATATGTATTTTTTTGGAAGTAGGCGGGGTCCCGGGACCCCGTGGGACCCTTAGTGGGTCCGCCCCTGGGTCTAGACCCCAGGACCCACATACTCAAGAGAACAGAAGGCACAACTGTCACCTAGTGGGACCCTCATCGGCCAGATGACCCTCATCGGCTGGAACGAAGTCAACCCAGAATATGATCCGGAAGCCAGAAGAAACGGGTGACCTCGTCGGTCGGGTCTTCGTCGGCCATGCACTCATCGGCCAGACCCTCGTCGGCCATAAAGAACTCCCAGAACAGGATTTTGCACTTAATCATTTGTATACTCTACCATTTACTTTGTATTCGGCCTAATGGCGGTCCAGTTGTAAATGGGCCTCCCAAGCCCAAGGCTTGGGAGCCCAAGGCTTGGGAGCCCAACCCGCATTTTTCCTATAAATACTTCCTCTAGAGGTAGTTGTAGGGGTTGACAAATTCATTAATACAGAGCAATTATACTACTTCTGTCTCTAGCTCTCACTTCTCTCTAGACTTATAGTCTATCATTTGGTGCTTTCATTGAGAGTTAGAACAATCAAGTTAGCCTCCTTCGTCGCTACCAAACACACCTAACTGACAATGGGAAGAACTAAGTCAAACTGCAACCTCCTCAGCAAGGCCATCCCTGAGGCACAGGAGAACCAAGGAGCATGAGGAGGACGCTACGGCCGACAAGGCCGCCGGGGGGGGGGGGGGGGGGGTCTTCCAGGAAGCCATCGACCTCGCAGGAGACTTGCGCAACAAGCTCAACGGCGACGCCCCTGACGCCCGCATCGGCTTGGACAAGAAGCGCGCGGAGAAAGGTGACAATGCCTCGGCGCAACCGGCCTCTCCTGCTGTTGACCCTCAGCTTCAGGCCGTGCTCTCAGCCATCATTGCCAGCTTGACCCAGAACCCCACCGTCCTCAGCGCACTCATGCCAAGGACGGGGGAGAACACGACGTCGCCTCCTCAGCCCCAGCCATTGGCTGTCAGGAAAGGCAACGATGAGGGGGTGGTGCCCCAGGACACGACGTCGTCCCACTCCCACCCCGCTTCCCCGCTTCGAGCTGGACCGACCCCAGCGCGTGGAAAAGCCTCAACCTTTAATAGGCTAGGTGACACGTGTCGTCGGCCTGCTTCGAAGAGGATGGCGGGGCGGATTGGGCAGCGTGAGCCTGGCTCACCCAGGGAAAGCTTGGGGTCGGTATCTCGGACAGCAGATCAGCCTCGCCTGGACAAAGGCAAGGGGAAACTGCATGAAGATGATGCCCGTCACCAAATAAACACGGCTAACGCAGCCCGCTTGCAGACTCAGGGCGCCACCATGGCCGACAGGGAGGCCAAACAGCTGGCCGCCACGCCCACCGGCAATTCATCCAGAGATCCCGGCTTCAACGCCCTTCTGAACAAGGTCACTATCCTTGAAAGGGAGTTGGCCAAAGGACGAGGGGACCCCATCATCCAGGTCAGGACGAGGACCCCCTTCACCGCCAGGGTACTCTCGGACCCTATCCCCGAGAAGTACCGAGGAAACGCCATCAAGCCATATGACGACCGTTCCGACCCCCAGGAGCATTTCAGCCGTTACGAGAACAACGTGCTGATGGTGAATGCGTCAGATGAATACCTCTGCTGCTGGTTCCTTTCCACTCTTGAAGGGCCAACGTATGAGTGGTTCAACGCACTCCCCGAGGGGAGCATAGACTCATGGCAATACCTCGCCCAGCGCTTCCTCACTCACTTTGCCGGAAGGAAGCGCGCGAAGAAATACTTCACCCATCTTCTCTCCGTCAAACAGCAGCATGACGAATCACTCCGGTCGTTCATCGATCAGTGGACGAGGGAGACTGACGAGGTCGAGTGGGCTGATGAGCGCACCCTCCTCGTACTCTTCTAGGGAGCCCTCCGCAGCACCCCATATGCGAGGAGCCTCATCACTGACCCTCCGAGGTCCTATATGAAGGCGCTTCGGTGAGGAAACTTGTACGCGGACGCCGACGAGCTGCACATCCACAAGAAGGACGGGGGGCACCCCTCCAAGAAGACAAACGCCGCGCCAGCCGCAGACGCACCCTCGGCCGGGGACCGAGGTCAGGGAGGACAAGGCCGCCATGGATCTGGCGGAAAGAACAAAGACCGCATATGGCGGCCGAGGAAGGAGAGGCCGAAGACCCCACTTACCCATTCGGTCAGCACCATCCTCGATTACACCGAGGAGCACGACCTCATTGAGCGAGATCCTTGGCCGGCAAAAGAGATCTATGCCGTCCATCAGGGCGGAACCTACTGCCGTTATTACCGGAACACCTCCCACAACACAGACGATTGTGTCACTCTGAAGAGGCACATCGAGAAGTTGATTCGTCAGGGGGAACTCTCCCAGTTTGTTAAAGGTGGCCCACACAAAAATACGTGGGTAAACACCGGCAAGCATGGGGGCAAACCCTCGACGAAGAAGCGGGAGATTGGCAGGCTCAGCGACGCCGACGAAGACTTCGAAGAGCCCCCTCCGAAGAAGAACCACATCAACCTCATTGTGGGGGGTAACACTGGGGGGGATTCGGCCACCCAGAGGAAGAAATGGGCCCAATTCCTTTACATCGGGGAGGTGTCCCACGCTCCCCCCAGCCAAAGAAACAACGGGCGGAGGCGATCACCTTCACCGACAAGGATCTACCTCCGGGGCCCGCATCACACAGGGACGCCCTCGTCATCCGGTGCGAAATAGGTCTCCATCATCCACCGCACCTACATCGACACGGGGAGCTCCGTCAACGTCATGTACCTTGACACCTTCAGGCAACTGAAGTTGGACAGAGCACTGCTCAAGCCGATACGGACACCGTTGTCCGGCTTCACCGGGGACTCTATTGACGCCGAGGGCACGATAGTCCTCCTCGTGGAGGTCGGCGACGGCTCCCATCGCATCAAGATCGACATGGAATTCATGGTGGTTAAACTCGAGTACGCCCATAACTTGATATGGGGGCGGCCAGCACTAGAGGATTTGGAAGCCATCATCTCCATGAAACATCTATGCCTGAAGTTCCCCACTAGCGACGGTATCGGCTACGCCCGAGGGAACCAGAAGATAGCCCGAGCATGCTACCTGAAACTGACAAAGCCGGCAGCCAGCGCCGGGCAGAGAATAGACACCATCACCGTCGCCGTCTCCAAAGACGAATAAAGGACGCACGCCGAGCCAGCCGAAGAGGTCGAGGAGGTCCCCCTGGATACCTCCCGGCCGGAGCGGTTCCTGAAAATCGGGAAACAACTCCCACAGGACCAACGCGAAGGCATCCTCGACGTCCTGCGGTCATACGCGGTCATTTTTGTGTGGGGGCCGGACGACATGCCGGGCATCAGCCGAAGAG